TTGATTTATTGTAGAGATGAGGTCTCACCAAGTTGCCCAGGCAGGTCTTGAACCCACGGGCTCAGGCAATCCATGTGTTTTTTTTTTTTAATGGAACTTGAGAAAGGCTTTCAGGGGTCCTGGGTAACTTTGGGGTTTATAGAGTGGGATCAAAGGGCTGTGAAATATTTTAAGGGGTCACAAGAAGGGTATGTGGGGTCCTAGGACAACTTAGGGGATTTCTAGCCCATTTGTGGAGAAGACTTTTGGGCTATCCAGGCACTTTGGAGGATCTTGTGATAGACTTCTCAGATTATTAATAGATGAGTTCCACATGGGGCTTCAGGGCACCTAAGTGATTAGGGACCTGGGGATCCTGGCAGGATATGGGGGTGACCCAGGCTCAGACTCACACATTCCCCAGTGAGATTTCAAGGTTGTCCAGGCTCCGGAAGATGTCACTGTACCTCTTCCTGCTCTCAGGAGCTGGGGGGAGCCCTGGGGGAGGGGAGTGTGACACATGGGCCAACCACTGCCTCCACCCACAGCACCTCCACCAGTCTCATTTGGAGGGGGTGTGGGGTGGGGAGAGAGGAGAGAGAGTCCCAGCCCTCTGAGGAGTATAGTAGGATGGAGGGAGAGTGGGCCTGGGTGGGGCAACTCCGGGCGGGCAGGTGGACTCAGACACTACCAGACAGAGACAGCTGCTCAGAGAGGCAGAGACACCCACAGCCTGCGTGTGGGTGTACCCAGAAGCAAAGCAAAACCACGGATGCCCCAGATGCAGCTGTGGGAAGGGAGCCGGCTGGACAATAGAACCACATGGACCCCAGGCTGGACAGATGGGAATACACATGGGACTGCCGGGCACAGAGCCTGAGGCAGAGACACACACGGAGGGGCTGAAACCACGAGGGACATCAAGGCCGGCTGACACTCGACATTCACAGCAGAGACAAAAGGACCGGCGGAAACACAAGGCGGACGTGCCACATTGCTGCCGCTGCTGCCCCGGCCCCACCTTCTAGGGGACCCAGGTCAGCACTGCCCACTCCCCTCTGCTGCCGAGTGGCCCTGAGGACCCACCGCGCAGCCCTCTCCCTCAGCGGTCGTGACACCACACCCTGCCCCCATCCAAAAATCAGAAGCAGAAGAGGCCACTTCCCCTTCCTGGGCCCCCTCCCCCAGGCATCCGGGGTGTGGGATCTCAAGGGGGATGGGGGGACAAGGGCAGGCGTCCCGGACCCTCCAGGTATGGGGCTCCCCACCATGGAGGATCCCCGCGTCCTTCCCGTTCGGGAGCTCCTCTCCCGGCTCTCGGTACAGAGGACAGGCGTGGCCCCTCAATTTAGGAAGCGGGGGACGGTCGGAGAGGCCCCGCCCGAATCCCGGATCCCCTACCCGGCTCTGCTGTGTCCATGGCTGGGCCCGGGAATCGCTCGACGGGGACCGGGACG